TGAATCGGAGATATACAGGATGAGGCAATAGTGTGTTCTCCTTCTATATTAGCCAAACCGTCAGATATATAGAAAAAAATCGAATACAACAGTTATAGGGTTTCTTGGGAACTATCACCTAAAATTATTTTAATATCTATAGGGTGTTCGAATTCCAAGATATCGGTTGATGATGGGTGTTTTCAAATGATATACCCTGTATATTATTACATTTTTAGATTTTCTACCAAGAGCTGATTTCATCAATGCATCGCACTTGGGGATTAGCTGAAATGATAATAAAGATATAGGTTGTTCAAAATCTATATTTTTCAACTTCATGATTTTTTTTGAGTTAAAACTATTTATTATTGGTCGAAACGGCTCACATGTCCCTATCCCAACTTCTGATTCTTATTTGGAACAAATACAGGGTGGTTCAAAATTCAAGATTTCTGATCACATGGTATCTATTCTAATTAAATTTCAGTAGATAGTAAATCGTACGTTGAGACATAGGGACATGTGAGCCGTTTCGACCAATAGTGAATAGTTCTGACAGAATAAAATCCCAAATTTGAAAATTTTCGATTCTGAACACCCTGCTATATCTCTGTAATCATTTCCGCTAGACTCCAAGTGTGAAACATTGATGAAAGCAGCTATTTAGGAGAAATTAAAAAATTCAATAATATACAGGGTGTCCCATTAAAAAACATTCATCATCAGCCGATATCTTGGAATTCGAACATCCTATAGATATGAAAATAATTTTCATAAAATTCTATAACTGTTGTATTCGAATTTCTTTTTTATACCTGACGGTTTGGCTAATATAGAAGGACAACACACTATTGACTCTATAGTCTAAACCCATATTTTCCTTGATAAAACAATTGAAAATTACTTCCCATTTCACGGGAAATAGACCCAGGTCAAGAATATATTTCTTTTTGATGACGTCTCACAAGTTAACATTTGTTTTCAAAATGGCGACGCAGGAGACATTTTTTTTAAATCAATATGGTGACACTGTCTAAAATGAGAATGAGTTGCAAAGAAATTCATGAAAATGTGCATGCTTCGTTCTAAATATTTTCGACAATGCAGTGTTGCCGCTTCTATCAAAAAGTAGCAACAACTTTGATATTTCATTCTATTTTCAAATTGCCTCTGAAGGGTTGAGCTCATCGATATATCGCATTCGGTGTCTAGCGGGAATGATCACAGAGATATATAGGGTGTTGAAAATCGAGATTTTTCAACTTAAGAACTTTATTGTGTCGAGACTATTCTATTATCGGTCAAAATGGCTTCCATATCCCTATATAATAATAATAATAATTATAATAATAATAAATGCTTTTATTGTCTCAAATAAACAAAAGGCAGAGTTCAACTCGCCGATAAATCGATTGCTGCTCTTCCACTCAACCCTTGAATTTTGATCTACTATCCACTGAAATTAATTTGGAGTAGATACAGGGTGACCAGATTTCTGAATCTTGAAGTACCCTGTATATCTTTCAATTAAATGTCAGTAGATAGTAAAGTTTATGTTGGGATATAAAAGCCGTTTTGACCGATAATGAATAGTTCCGACACAAAAAATCCTCAAGTTGAAAAATCTCGATTTTGAATACCCTATATATCTGTAATCATTCCCGCTAGACCCCAAATGTGATACATCGATGGAATCAGCTCTTCAGGTAAAATCTAAAAATACAATGAAATACAGGGAAATCCATTTGAAATAACATAGTTGTTGCTACTTTTCGGTAGAAGCGCCAACACTGCATTGTCGAAAATATATTTATCTAGGAGAGTGTAATCTCAAATATAAACATGCACATTTTCATAAATTTCTTGCGGCTCATTCTCGAAATAATGATAGTGTAAGCTCGTCGTGACATACCCTGTATACTACAGAAACCATAGAGAAATATTGTTTACAAAATCTTGGTACTTACATATTGTATAAACTTTTTCAGAACCAACTAATAGAGGGAGCGGCATCCTTCTTAAAATTCAAACTTCTGCCGAATATTCAACAGAAATCATTCAATTCACGTTTCACTCAACTTCACTTTTGTCCTAACTCCACTGTTCTTAACCACATCATAAAATACACACCAAAAACTCCGTTTTATTATATTATATACACACTAAAACTGATTCAAAACCCGGTATATTAAAAGAAAAAGTAAGTTCACTGTCAAATCACGATAATTATCACTGCAGTCTGCACTGAAACTCACACAACACCCGGTATACAAAACGAAAAAGTATATTCACTAATTGAATTACGATAATAATTATTACTGCGTCCGCACCAACCGAAAGCCGTTCGCAAACTGATTCATATTTATTTATCATCCCGAATAAATTTCTTGGTGAGTAATGCCATACGTTATTCATTACATAATCTATCAGTAGTATGAGGAAGCAAATAAGAATACAGGGTCGTTTTTTCATTTGGCATTTAAAAAAAAACGGTGCCTTTATTTAGATTGAACTAAACCGGGTGTATACAGTGTGACCACGAAATCATTGGCCAGGACGTCATCCAGTTGTTTTTATGTTTATAGACATTTGACATTTGAATCGGAGATATACAGGATGAGGCAATAGTGTGTTTTTCATTATCAGCCAAACCGTCAGATATATAGAAAAATTCGAATACAACAGTTATAGGGTTTCTTTGGAACTATCACCTAAAATTATTTTCATATCTATAGGGTGTTCGAATTCCAAGATATCGGTAGATGATGGGTGTTTTCAAATGAGACACCCTGTATATTATTACATTTTTAGATTCTCTCTTAAGAGCTGATTTCATCGATGTATCGCACTTGGGGACTAGCTGAAATGTTTATAGAGGTATAGGGTGTTCAAAATCTATATTTTTCAACTTTGTGATTTTTTTGCGTTAAAACTATTTATTATTGGTGGAAACGGCTTACATGTCCCTATCTCAACTTCTGATCCACTGACACTTAATTGGAACAAATACAGGGTGGTTCAAAATTCAAGATCTCTGATCACCCGCCTGTATCTTTTCCAATTAAATTTCAGTTGATAGTAAATCAAACGTTGAGAGATAGGGGCATGTAAGCCGTTTCGCCTAATAGTGAATAGATATCACAAAAATTACATAGTTATGAGCAATCTAAAACAACATACAATTTATTCTTGAAGTTCTGAGTAGATTTGATGGGGTTCTAGATCTAGAGTTCCTGACTGAAATTTTGAATAGTTCCAGCAAGTCGTTGATGTGAATGGAAAAAATGATTGTTGAGGGCTAACTCCACGCAGCGCAATTGTTTTTTGGCTCTGCCAGGCTATTTCATTTTTTCTGATGTCAAAAATTAAATTTTTACGGGGAGGAGGGGTGGTACTTCATAACGTGCCACCTGTTACTTTTTGCAAATTTATGTTCGTTTCTTGTGATCTAGGCGTGATCCAGTACTTCGACAGGTCGGAGAAAATATGTCTGGAAAGCAATATTACTGATATAATAATAATTATATACTTCATTGTCTGAAGAAGAATCTTGTTGACAAAGCTAGCTCAGATGATATTGTAAAAAAAGGTTAAAATATAACGACATAAAAATACGAGACAATAAAGTCTAAATAAGTACCGCATCAAAAATACTGAAATATCACGATTCAAACATTTCACTATAATATTCCGGCAAACTGTGGTGGAATCTATCAGAGAGGAACTTTTTGACTTTCTTCCTGAATTGACAGTCATTCAGACTTGCTGGCCTTGAATCAACTGGCCAGTGATTGTACATTTTCTCACCTTAGAAACAACGAATTATATTCTATTTTCTTATCATATGCCTCATTTCTCCAACTGATACATAGTTATGAGCAAACAAAAGCAACATACAGAATTTTTCTTGAGTTCTGAGAGTAGATTTGATGGAGTTCTAGATTTCCTGACTGAAATTTTTAATATTTCCAGAAAGTCGTTGATGTAAATAGAACAAACAAATTTCGAAGGGAAACTCCACGCAGCGCCATTTTTTTTCGCCCTGCCAGCTAGGCTTTTTTTTCTACTGTAAAAAATAATAATGTTAGTGTGGGTGATTATAACTTGCCAACTAGTACTTTCTGCAAATTCAGTTTCAGGGTATAACATGAAGTTCAAGTCATGTTGTAACCATCTTCTGGCTCTGAGGTAGGATCAAGAGATCGCGACACATACTGTATGGCGCTGCCATCTATAGTCACACGTACAGACCCTTACGTCTATGCCCTACAGAGTGGTATTTCAAGTAAACCACTCTGCTGACAGATGGCTCTACCTGACATATACTTGAGTGGATTTTTCCACCAACCTATACAACTGCTAGATCTCATAACTAAGAGTTCCAGGATGAACAGAGTTGCTTCAATTGTCAGCAGGAGCGAAACAGTACTGTTTCGACCCACCAGGTCTCATCAGCCGTTCTTGGTCTTCGAAATGGGTGATATACCCGGAGCGTAGAGTTGTCCCAGTTGTCAGCAGACCGAGAGCGGCTGATGAGACCTGGTGGGTCGAAACAGAACTGTCTCGCTCCTGCTGACAATTGTGGCAACTCTGTTCATCCTGGATCTCTTGGTTATGCGTTCAGAACTTTCGTGCAGGAATCCCAGCTGATTATCGATTGGCTGGCAAGCAATGCTGCTGATGGACAGGATGAATTATATTGGATTTTGTATCATATGCCCCATTGTTCCAACTGATCTCAACCGCAATTTTTTCTTGAAGTTCTGAGTAGATTTGATGGGGTTCTAGATCTAGAGTTCCTGACTGAAATTTTGAATAGTTCCAGCAAGTCGTTGATGTAAATGGAAAAAATGATTGTTGAGGGCTAACTCCACGCAGCGCAATTGTTTTTTGGCTCTGCCAGGCTATTTCATTTTTTCTGATGTCAAAAATTAAATTTTTACGGGGAGGAGGGGTGGTACTTCATAACGTGCCACCTGTTACTTTTTGCAAATTTATGTTCGTTTCTTGTGATCTAGGCGTGATGCAGTACTTCGGCAGGTCGGAGAAAATGTGCGTTCAGAACTTGTTTAAACGGGACGGCCTCGTGCGGGAGTCCCAGCTGATCATCGATTGGCTGGAAAGCAACGCTGCTGATCGTGATGACGAGGTGCTGCACTTTTCAGACAGCACAGTGGGCTGGGAGAATACGCTGCACCAGCTGCAGTCTGCCGAGACCATCGCTTTTCTCAGTTCCAGGTGAAGAATAAAGATGAAAATGTGTTTCTTTTTCAAAAATTGGTATTGGTTCTTCCTCGAACAGAAATTCTTGGAAAAAATCTGGTTTTCATTATCTTTCTTTGAGTTGGTTTTGGTTCTTTCAAAACATAAATCTGATATGTTCAAGATTCCAACAAAAACTATATTCAATACAATTTTGTTTCTCTCAAAATTGAGAAAATATCATGTAACTTTCGGAAAATAGTTCGAAACTGTATTAGATTTTCTCAGAAAGTTGATTTGGTTCTCTACATAATAGGACTTGCAAGAAGAATATAATCAGGCTTAAAACGAACTCAAAAACTGTTTTTCATATTCTTTGAAATTGTTTTGGTTTTTTCTAGAACAGAAATCCCACAATAATCTGGTCAGTTTTTGAAAACTCACAAGCTGGTTCTTCTTTCCTCAATTTTTGGTTCAGTCAAAAACAGAAATTTCAGGGAAAATGGGGAAGACCACTGAGGGAAGAAATCCATGCAAACCTCTTTCAATCGACGAATCATGATTTACATTTTATGTACAATCAATATTATGAGTTGAAGTTGAAGGGAATCAAATCTATATCGTTTTGAATTCAGCATATTTCATTCCATATTCCAAACAGCCAAATATGATGGTGGAGTCGTGACGTATTAGTCCCGAACTGTAGCTATCTCTCTCTGATACCTCGTCATTCTGCAGTGTTGCAGTGTAATTGGTCAGTTCAAGGACAATAGGCGTGTTGGGACTAAGACGTCGCACCAGTCACACCAATGAATTGATGAAATTGCAAATGGCGCAGGAATTGGGTGTTTTGAAATGGACATATACTAATTTATTTTTTTCACCGTCTTAGCATGAATGAAAAAATTCAAAATTAATTCACTGGTAGTTTTTCAGTATATAGTTCACGGTAATGTCGTTTTGAAAAATCAGTGGTCTTCTCCATTGTATGCAGTTTGAAAAATTTCGAACTGTTCTGATTCCCTTGAAATGAAGTTGTGGCTCTCTAAAATACGGACATTTTAGAAGAAAAATGACAACTGTTCTTGATTCTCTCAAAAATAAGTGTTGATTCTTTGAAAAACAATTTTTGATTCTTCAATTCATTTACTTGTCACTCGTCATCTATTACCTGCCACTTGTCACCTGTCATCTGTCATGCTCAATGCTTTTATATGTCACTTGTCAAACAGTTGCTAATGAATGAGTAACCTATCCTTCAGTAGGCACTAAAAGAGTGACGTATTCCTTCCCTCAATTTTCAGCAGGAAGAATATGAAGTCTATTCTAGTACATATTAATTAAAAATAATTTTAATTCTCGAGGAATGCTATGATTTGTCCATCTGTAAAAAAATCTATAATGCTATGAGCGATTGTCTTCATTTAATGAACGTGGTAATGAAAATTGCAGATGGAATCGCAATGACTTTGTTAACAGTTTTGAATAGCAAATTGGCTATTGAAATATACATTACATGTTGAGGCAAAGTGTAATGTGGCGATTATAATTGTTTCTTTTTTATAACAAAGTCATCGCACAAAGATCAGTTATTTCATGAAGAAATCCTGTGATAAAAATGTTTTTGTTTCAAAACTCAGAATCTATTTTTCAAGGCCTATGAAAAATTCTAATCTAGTGGTGTTTCGGTTTTTATACGATTACTAATGCAGAACAGTGATATATCGTCTTATTAGATTTTGGACATACTTTATCAAAAATAATGAGAATCATTGTTGATATGGTAAATTGATTAATTATTCCAACTAACAATGATAATTAGTCATATGTTTTCCAAAACAACATCATTATACTAATCTTCCATGATTTTTCCATACCTTGATTTTCATCAATCCTGATTTTAGGCGAATAGTTAGTTCCTTGGACCCAGATGCGCCGAATCGCGAGAGAATGCCATTGCACGATTTGGACTCGGAAGACGATAAAAGATTGGCTAGAAAGGTTTTCGCTGAAGTACGATGCGGGAAGTTGGAAGAAGCCCAAAAGGTGCGAAACAATGAAGACTTCGATTTCATTTCGGGTTCTGTTGAAGAAATTTAAAACTTCCATTTTTCATATTTGGGCCCCTTAGAAAAAAATACGATTTCTTTTCTCAATCAACATACATTTGGATATTTTAACTTTTGACTATAGACCCCCACAGAATGAAATTTTCTATATGAAAATGTGCCATCCAAGTACATCATGAGTATATAAAGTGTCCAATGACAAAATAAGAAGAGCAAGTAGCTTGAAATGCCCCCAACACAAGGGGAGAAAGAAGGCGAAATTTCGAACTTTTTCTTGAAATATCTCGATAAATAGTGGTTTGTTCACATTTTCATTATCAAATTCGTGTTTTTCAGACAAAAAAGTAAAAAATAACGTTAACACAAAAATTGAGAAGGAGATCATTATAACCTCAATTTAAAGGACGCCGTCTTCTCATTGTACGTGTTATTAAGAGAAGGACAAAAGGAGCAGACCTATATTTTTTCTCTCTCACTGCTCCTTGAACTTTGCTATCCCTGCATGAACTTTATGGATCATGGCATGTTTATCATCTGTTCAAGACCTCAAAGCGTGTCTTTGACTCGAAGATATTTTTTCATCGTTCAAAATGAAGGCATCTATCTTAAATTGGTTTTGAAAGTAGAGAAGGAAGAATATCATTTAAAATGATGGCATGTGTAATGTCATTCCAGAGCAATCCTTTTGACATCTCGTATTTTGATTGACTATTGATTGAATGGCCTTCATCTGGAATGCTTGTTTACTAAATATGAAAAACTCGCCATAAAAATCATATTTCCAGTTGAATTTTCTATATAAAAAATGTGTCATCGAAGTTCATCATGAGTATATAAAGTGTCCAATGGCAAAATAAGAGGAGCAAGTAGCTTCAAATGCCCCCAACACAAGGGGAGAAAGAAGGCGAAATTTCGAACTTTTTCTTGAAATATCTTGATAAATAGTGGTTTGTTCACATTTTCATTATCAAATTCGTCTTTTTCAGACAAAAATACGTAAGTACCAAAAAAAATTTTCGAAAAAAAAAACATCGCATGATAAATGCAGTTTTACCATAATTCTATTTGAGGAGTAATAGTTATTTGTTTAACTAGGCAGCAAAGTAGTAGATTGACTGCCGAGGCTGAATTCATAGCCGAGCGTAGCGAGGCTAGGAATCCAGCTAAGGCAGTCAATCTACTTTGCTGCCGAGTTGAACATATAATTTTTTCTCCGATTGTTCATAATGATATAGGAGGATATTGTAATTGCAAATTATTACAATTCCCACAATCTCTTTATTTTTCCTGTAGTGTTCAATTAAAATGAAATTTGATAGAAATCGCAGTTGTCCATGATAATTATAGTTTGACAATTCATGAAAATTCTGACAGTTGTGCGAAAAAATATCGGTATATTTAAATTATTATATAATGGACAGTGATAGCGACCTGGAAGTACTTACACCTCCAGAAATAAGGGAGGTGGAAAAAAATATAGAGTTGAATTTGTTGCCGGAGAAGTCTCGAATGAAATATGAAAGAAAACGATCTATGGATTATTAATTTTGCTGATACATATCAATCAGCAAACTACCCACTTTGCTGCCTAGGCAGGAAAAGTAATACTTTGCTGATTGATATGTGTCAACAAAATTAATATTTGATGCCAATCGGAGAAAAAAGTTATAGTCCACTCGCTCATTTTGAAGAAATAAATCCTCATCAACAGGCAGCTCATGCACAAACCCTTTTAGCTCTGTAGACAGACCGGCCATTCTTGGAAAGCTGCCCTTTTCGAAGGGTGGCGGCTGTTCCACGACCCGAACGTCAAAGAAAACTCCGACAACGATGCCGGTTCGGAAGCAGACGACGGCTACGAGGAAATGGACTCCAACGAACTGAAGGAAATCGAGGGGAATAGTAGCCGAGATATATGGAAAATCATGGCTATCAAATACTGCAAACAAGTAGGAAATGGCATGAGCAGTCATACTAGACTTACGCCAGCACACAGACCAGACTTAACTCCTATTGACTTCACAAAATGGCACGCTATCATATTGACGGTCATTTGATATTTTCTCATGGAATGAAATCGTCAGGTGCAGAGCTTGAATACCAAATAAAAACGATCGAATATTGAACTAAATTATATAAGGTTTAAATTGTAGTGAAGTGTAGATAATGTGGAAAAAACGTGGACATTACATGAGATTTGCTTCGAAAATAATGTGCTGATAACATTCAACACATGAATTCAACTGTCTGGAGGAAGAATAAAAATGTAATGTTGTATCTTCACTTTTGCTTATTCTCCAAAAACATTGATAACAATAACTGCGGTTATTTGGATCTTACTTGTATTTCTTATTGTTCTGATGGTATTTTCTATTGTTCTGATATCTTTTATTTAATCAAATATTGATAAAATAATAAATCGAGGAGTCTGATCAATATGGTTGCTGAAAAAAATAAAAATGTTGTAGATAGATGATCATAGAGATAATGTCATGTTGATTTTCTCTTTCCCTCTTGAAAATAAAATGAAAACATGACAAACCACATCAAAATAACAACCAAATAACAACGATTGTTATTCTTATATCAATATTTTAATTGATCTGCCAAACGTTATGTTTTCAACACCCTTTTATTAGCTTCAACTCCTTTGGACTTTATTTTGACCCACTTAGAACGGACCGATTGATTTGAAATTTGGCAGGTGTACATATAATTTTGGTGACAAAGCATCGTGTAATTTTTGTTAGACAACAAAACAAAATGGCGGCTCCAAAATGGCGGACGAGTTTTGTGATTATGATCCGATTCTATTCAAAATTGGTATCTTGGGGTTTTCGAGGTCGGAGAATATGATTCTTCCGCCAAAATTTGAAAATTCGAGATGGCTGATCCAATATAGCGGACGAGTTTTTCAAATATACTACGATTCTTTTCAAAATTGGTATCTGGGGGTTTTTGGGATTGGCAAAATTGAAAAATTCAAGATCTCGGAAGGCGGATTCAATATGATGAGTTTTGTGATTATATGATCCGATTTTTTTCAAAATTGGTATCTGGAAACATTCGGGGTCGCAGATTATTATGATTTTGTCAAAATTGAAAAAAAATGCAATATGACGGACGGGTTTTGTAATTATAATCCGATTTTATTGAAAATTATAGTATCGGGGGGGGGTTTTCGAGGACGTAGATTATAATACGTCAAAATTGGGTACTTACAAAAAATAAAAGAATACTAAAAATACGCTTATGTAGTTAACCGACCTAATCAATAGAAAATAAATAGTAGTTTAGAATGAAGGAACATGACCCTTTCATAGATAGCCAAACTAAAAAGAGGTAGAAAATAAAATAATGAAAGTGTGTTGATGAATACACAATGTTGACGAAGGTGCTAATATTTTGTATGTTGTATATTCATCAACACACTTTTTTTATTTTATATTCTAGACCTTTTTAGTTTGGCTATCTATTGAAGGGCGTTTCTTTATTTTTTCAGACCACTATATATTTCTTTTCCTTTCTGTTAACGCCGCGTCTTTTCCATCATGCCAATAAGGGCGAAATCTGGTCTGTCTGCTGGAGTGGGGCAACAAATTTTTAAAGTTGAAAAGTGATTTTTTTATATCAATTTTGCAGGACTATTTGAATTTGTATGATAGAGCTTCGATAGGAGCGTTTTGTGGGTATCTAAATACTTTGTTGCCAGTGTGCAATTCCTGGGAGGACAGTTTATGGGCCTATATGAGAACTCTGGTTGATGTGAGAGTCGAATCTGAGATACGAGATTGTGTAACGAGAAACGGAGAATATTTGCCGTTGCCTGAAGAATACTGGACTCAAAGGTTGGATACATTTTTGTTGGTTAAGGGCTGCTTGCAGACTATTCAACTAAGTACCTACATCTGCTGAACACCCCCCACTAAGCAATGTTGACGCAATTACCGAATCGGACGTTCAGCAATATTGCAAAAGTGAAGTTTGATAATGTAGCGTTGCAGTAATATTACATGTTGCTGTGACATTGCTGGAACGTTACATTTACAAATTTCCATTTGCAATATTGCTACAATACATCGAATATTGTAGTTGTGTACACCAACGAATAATTTTTTGTATAATCTTCCATATTCACTGTTTTCAACGTGCTATTTTTTAAGGATGTCTCTTAACGAAGTGTTCCACAATTTGGAATCGTCCAAAGACGCTCTAGTAAGAGAAGAGGCGAAAAGACCAGACCACGTCATTCAAAAACACATAATTATGGATGAGATAGCCACATTGCTTCTCAAATTCGAAGAATGGATTGAAGATGAAAATTTGCCGACTAGTTTCTTGAGATTCTTGGCTCATCTGGTGCTATTTTTTGACCAGATTGGCCAAGGTCATAATAGAGAAGTCATGGAAAAAGTTCTTGAAAAGTAAGTGAGAGAAAGAATGTGAAGAGAGCTGAATGGAAATTTGCAACATATCTTTTTGAAGCTTCTAAGTTTTGTTCCTGATGTTGACGTTAACGACGATATTTTTGCGATTCTCACTTCGAATCACTCAATCAACTTCGAGATTTTATCAACTTCTATCTTAGATTATTTAGGTTTTTGTTCCGTGAATATTTTTTTTAGTACCTAGATAAAATAGCAGCAGCACAGCAGCATTAATCATTGGTTACTCTACTTCTAGATTACAATAAGATGAACCTGTTGATCGAAATTTGTTTCGATTAATGAAGTCCACTAGTGTTGAGAGTAAAAAACAAATATCTTTTTCCCGTTTCTATTTATGTCTTCAGGTTTCCAACGTGAAATAATATGAATTTTATGTTGGTAACATAAAAAATGAGAAGGAGACCTTCTTAACCTCAATATAAACAGGACAAAAGGCGAAGACTTTTCTCCCACTACTGGCTGAAATTTTCTATTTATCAACTTGATGGATCAAATGCAAATGGTTATAATCTATTTCAGACCTCAAAGAGTGTTTATGACTTGAAGAGTTTTTTTTCTTTATCATTCCTTCTAGTTTGAGCATGGATCATTTTCGAAGAAGATGTTGAGAGAGCTTTCAAACGAGAATTAAAATATATTAAAGGAATGGGTACACAATCTAATCGAATTTGATTTTGAACTCCTCGAAGAATGTCATGTCAGTGATGTTGAAAAATTAATCTCTGCAAATAGGCTTATTTGATTTTTGAGCGACCACAACTAATTCGAGACTTCAGGTCATCATCTTCGATTGTCATTTTGAAAATAAATGTTTCAAGCATTTCCATAATCATTATGACAGAATAATCCTTAACTAACAATTATTTGACATAATTTCTGTCATAAAGTCATAGATTTGTTTTCATTATGAAATATCTCCAAGGTCAAAATTCTACTGTGTGTCCTAACCCCAATTTTATTTCATAATGAATAGGCTATCAGGAATTCATTGTATTGCTTTTTATCTACCACCATGTATATACTAATCCTTTTTTTTCAGTCCAGTGTAACCTCTCTCGCTAGCAAAAGTGAATAGTGGATAGTTAGTATTCAAACACTTCTATACTCATCATGAATCAAAAATCTAGCTGAAAATTATTCCACATAACTCCTGATTTCATTGTCATTGTGATAAAATTTGTTTAAGATGAAAAGGTGGCTGGTTGAGTTGTAATAGTTCATCATGAATCCATTTTCTAGCTTCTCATCCACCATAAATTGTATTATATCCTCTGCCTTTTAGTTATATCAATAGATTGATGGCCATGAACGAAACCCAAATGGTAGCCTATTACGTCAGTAAACTCTCACCCAATAACCAAGTCCACTTATACGCAAAATACTTGGAAAACATTATCGATGAAGAAGAGAGAAAAACGTCCCTTTTGTACGCAGAGGATAGTGGCTTGAACGTTTTAGCCATCACAAAACAAGTCGTTGAAAATGTCAGAAACATTCCCCATGAAACCGAAGAAAGCGGAAATCTTCAAGTAAGAAAATTCGTCTCATTTCCTTTTTCCTAGAACCGAAACATGTTTGCTTCAGCACAAAATAACTGAGGTCGACAACTACAAAATATCGTCTCTGGATTGGGTCTTGTTCTATGAGAACCAAAGAGCAGAAGCACTAGTTCAAGTAAATGGTTTGATCTTTACTTTCCTGACATTGGGCAAAGTCGATGCAGCTCATCTAGCTTTCAATAAAATTCCACAAGACATGGTGGAAAAAATCATCAAGGAAGGTAATCATCTCGATATGAAAGTATCAAGTAGGCCTTTTGGCGCCTCTAGTGGCAGAATTTGAAACAGCCTTAGAACACTTGCCAGCTGTTGACTAAAAATGTTATGATTTGTAATGTGACTGTTGTGAGTTGTCTCAAATACCTGTGTTTCTAAATTCCTCTGGATCTCCTGAGCTCACTTCTCAAATAGAAATGAGAAGAAATATGGGTCCAAAAATTCTTCCTTAGGGTGATACAGCTTCTCATTCATTGAAGTGCCATTTGGAAATTCACTGATCTCCAAAACATGAAAGGGAGAAAGTATGAAACAAAGAAGAACTATTCATAAAGCACATTCTCCAATGAATATTCAGGGCAATCAAAATTAGAAACACCAAAAATAAAATTCTGAACAAAGGACCCCCCACTAAACCATAGGGAAAATGGCTCTCGATGAAAATTGCTGAATATTTGGTATGTTGCAGACTTTGATATACTGAACAGATATTCCATTGAACTAACCTCAAAAAATGGACAGTTTTGCCGATATCGACCTCCAAATGTCATTTTTTGGAGAAAAAAAATATCTGGAAATGCTTGAATTTCTGGCATGTTGAAGATACCAATGAACTGATGAAAAAATCCAATTGACCTAACCTCCAAATGTAATTTTTTCAAGAAAATTTCTGAAAATGGCTGAATTTCTGGTATGTTGTCGATAGGAATGAACTGATACATACATATACTAAAAATTCAGGACACTTCAATTACAAGTGGAATGGGTACATTGAAACATTAAAAAAATGTGTGGGATGGGGAAAAAGACACAAAAAACATGAAAAAGTTATCAAAATGAAATGAGGATGTTCAGGAAAATGTGTTTGAAAATCGAAGCTGCAACATAATTTAATTGACTCATTTTTCTAGTAGGTTTACTCATAGATTTCTGAGGATGCCCCATAATGAAGGACGAAACGTCGATGATGATGAAACATTATTTTTTCCTGACTCGCTTGACCTTAAAATTGTACAGAATAACATTCTGAAGGTCAAATTCCATACAGTTGTTTGAATACCATTTTGGAGTCAGTAGCAGTAAAACTGTCAATTGTTGAGTTTAGATCAATAGGATTTTTTCATCAGTTCATTCATATCTGCAGCATACCTACTTGATCCAGCCATTTCCATAGATGATTTTTCGAAAGAATTAGATTTGAAGGTCAATGTCGAGAAAACTGTCAATTTTTTGAGGTTAGGTTTGAAGGTCAATGTCGAGAAAACTGTCAATTTTTTGAGGTTAGGTCAATTAGATTTTTTCATCAGTTCATTCCTATCTACAACATACCAGAAATTCAGCCATTTTAGAGATTTCTTTTTTGAAAAAATTACATTTGGAGGTCAATATCGAGAACTGTTAATTTTTGAAGGTTAGGTCATTTGGATTTTTTCATCAGTTCATTCTTATCTACAACATGCCAAAAATTCAACCATTTCCAGATACTTTTTTTTCTCGAAAGAATGACATTTGAAGGTCAATATCGGAAAAACTGTCCATTTTTTGAGGTTAGTTCAATGGAATATCTGTTCAGTATATCAAAGCCTGGAACATACCAAAAATTCAGCGATTTTCATCGAGAGCCATTTTCCCTATAGTTTAGTCAACAGCAGCTGAGATCACAAACTGAACAGAAGTAATAAGCTAAGAAATATGGAGTAATAATGATATTTTTCACTACCATAGATGGTTTTGACCAATATATGGCGATAGGACTGAATATGCCTTGATCAAATATTGCTGTGGAAAAAGATACAGGGCGTTTCAATCGAAAAAGTATTGACTATTAACGCTCGTCAAAATTTGTTCACTGACAAGAATGTAATTCACCATCAACAATTATTTGACAGTCCAAAGCAACACTCCTCGTGAATGAAATAATATTTGAAATCCCCTTCCGAGACTTTGAATTGTTCAATTGCGTTTTTCTCGAAAACTGATGAAAATATCGTGTTCAACAAGTTTACCAAAATTACGTTAAAATGATGTTTATGTCAGATTTCCTGATCAAAATCACTTGAAAGTTTCGTCGAAAACGGAATCATTCACGTGGCGCCCCCTGTAACAAACTGTTGAAAAATACATAAATTGATATTCTTTAAAATTATGCTTTTGTGCCGATTTTGATAACAATTGAAAAATACAGTGAAATAATCAGCAAAAAACTAAAAAAAGAATCAACTTCAATATTTTATGAAGGTATATTTCACATTTCCGGCACCACTCAACGGATAGAAACAAAAGTTGGTACGATTAATACGAATTCCATTCCTGATATCAGATGTTCTAAGGATATTCCATCGTACGGTGTCGAAGATATTGAAAGAAAACAATTTTATATGTGTATAAATAACCTAAGCTCAAAGTGTTGTCGAATCGTGTTCTTAGACGCAGCTTTCAAATTTTGACACTATAGGAAAGCCATCCTGTCAAAAATGGGTCGTTTTTCAGGTGAAGTTAGCGAGACACTCCGTCAAAGCATCAAGGAGTTCTTCAGTTACAAAGCCTACTTGGATGCCAATGAGGCGTTCAACGAGTGGTTCAAGCATTGCAAGTGTCAACCGACGCCACCTGCGGCGTTGCCGGATAATGCGCAATTTCCTGAAAAAGTGGCACATCAGCACAGGCAGTCTCAGCATAAAGCCGAATTGGAACGGTGAGATCTAACGGCAATACACCGGCCTATACAGTGTCCAGTTTTCGATGTTTTCGTTCAATATCTCAATTATGTTTGGAGATAGAGTGTTGCGGAATTCACATTACTGCCTTACTTTTTTTGTGAGACGAATAATGCCGCAAACATAATTTCCACAGTCCTTCATGTGTTTGAGATACAGAGCAAAGTTGAAAATTCTCACTATTTGAGCATCTCCCGTATACCCGTTACTTTTCGATGTTCTGTTCAATATCTCAGTTATCTTTGGAGATAGAGTGTTGCGGATTTCACATAACTGCCTTACTTTTTTTGTTAGACGAATAATGCCGCAAACATAATTTCCACAGTCCTTCATGTGTTTGAGATACAGAGCAAAGTTGAAAATTCTCACTATTTGAGCATCTCCCGTATACCCGTTACTTTTCGATGTTCTGTTCAATATCTCAGTTATCTTTGGAGATAGAGTGTTGCGGATTTCACATGACTGCCTTACTTTTTTTGTTAGACGAATAATGCCGCAAACATAATTTCCACAGTCCTTCATGTGTTTGAGATACAGAGCAAAGTTGAAAATTCTCACTTCTTTGAGCACCTCCCGTATACCCGTTACTTTTCGATGTTCTGTTCAATATCTCAGTTATATATCTTTGGAGATAGAGTGTTGCGGATTTCACATAACTGCCTTACTTTTTTTTTTTTAGACGAATAATGCCGCGAACATAATTTCCACAGTCCTTCATGTGTTTGGGATACAGAGCAAAGTTGAAACTTCTCACTTCTTTGAGCACCTCCCGTATACCCGTTACTTTTAGATGTTCTGTTCAATATTTCAGTTATCTTTGGAGATAGAGTGTTGCGGATTTCACATGACTGCCTTACTTATTTTGTTAGACGAATAATGCCGCAAACATAATTTCCACAGTCCTTCATGTGTTTGAGATACAGAGCAAAGTTGAAAATTCTCACTTCTTTGAGCACCTCCAGTATACCCGTTACTTTTCGATGTTCTGTTCAATATTTCAGTTATCTTTGGAGATAGAGTGTTGCGGATTTCACATTACTGCCTTACTGTTTTTGTTAGACGAATAATGCCGCAAACATAATTTCCACAGTCCTTCATGTGTTTGAGATACAGAGCAAAGTTGAAAATTCTCACTTTTTGAGCATCTCCCGTATACCCGTTACTTTTCGATGATCTGTTCAATATCTCAGTTATCTTTGGAGATAGAGTGTTGCGGATTTCACATAACTGCCTTACTTTTTTTGTTAGACGAATAATGCCGCAAACATAATTTCCACAGTCCTTCATGTGTTTGAGATACAGGGTAAAGTTGAAAATACTCACTTTTTGAGCACCTCCCGTATACCCGTTACTTTTAAATTTATCGGCAGAATGAGAACGAGGCCTTATACAACTTTCTAAGTATAATTCAGTGGCTGACTCATTTTATTTCTGTAATCGCTCTTTTTTAGGAAATAGCGCAAAACAAATGTTTTTTTGAAAAAAAAACTTCAAATATCATATATCCTTGATGAGCTATAAAATCTGAATCGAACTGGACAGAAATATACAGGATATCCCATTTGAAATTTGACTTCATTTTCAAATAATGACCGAATACAAAAATGAAATGAGTACGTCACTGTATTATACGCACAAATTTATATAAAGGCACCGTTCTCATCCTCATCAAAAGTTGGAAAAATACGGGAGGTGTTCAAAAAGCAGATAGAAAAAACTGATGTCGGTGCCTGTTGATCAATTCACATGACAAGCGCAAAGGTGAAAACCGCATATCAATATCTATCTTTATTTCAGAGATCTAAGGTGTTTTTCGAAAATGTGTATTTTTGAAAAGTGGGTAAAACTCGCAAATTTTGCTTTCGCTCGGCTTTGCTAAACGCTCCGCCTCGCAAATGCAAAATTCGCTTGTCAAACAAAGTGTCACTTTTGATCCCAATGAAACAATCTACTATTATGCTTTACTACATTGGTGTATGTATTCCTGGATTGTCTTCTGAAGCTAGTAGTGGAAAACCCTGTTTTCTCATGTTAGGTGGAAATTGACAGCCAATCATTTGGCCAAAAACGCCAAAACTAAACTCTACAACGTGCTGTTGTTCCCGGAAGGCTGGTTGGTAGGTGCTGTGGATGACGACTATTTGAGATCAGCTTGTCTTCCGGGCATCGTGCTGCTCATCTACTCGGTGTTGTCAGAATCCGGGCAACACGCAGAGTGCGTCCAATTGGCCGATATCATCGCTTCGGAGAAGCATTGTTTGTATAAGGTAAGCACTAGGCGAAGTACAGTCGGATGCAAAGAACATGTTGCGGTTGGACGGTATGAGCGCTCTTATTGCAGCGGTGATCAAGGGAGCTGACACCGTCCATGTGCGACATGGTCTCTGAAGACGACTGTACAATCGGATGCAAAGAACATGTTGAATGGGCCACTGGACTGATTATCCAAGGCACCTCATTTTCAGAATAATCCTGAGTTGCGTTCTCCAGAATAAACGTCTAATGTGCCATCCACCGTGAACCAGCCTGTATATACTCACTGATTTATTTGCAAAAATTGATAGTTTGACTAGAAACGAATTTATGCATTACTTCACTTCACTGTATAAAACAGTTATAATATACCTTACCTACGAATTGTTGGTGGTGTTGTTGTTGTTTCCTTGCTCTTTCATTTGCCACGCTGAAACTACCCCAGTTTATTTATTATTCAATATAGCATTAAGAATTCTTTTATTTTCCGCTTCATACACCCTTAACAATTCTCTTTCTTGCTGTGAGCTTCTCTGGCTCTCATTTCGTATGATAAACTAAAAATGTAATCTAAACTTCAGTGACATCCTTATTTTTGTGTTATTAGGTATATTCCAAGGAGAAGCTCGCCGAGATCTTGGAGAAACTTTGTGAAAGTTCTGTCGCATTATTAAATGCAAAAAAGGATCCTTGGGGAAATGAAACAGCTGCTTGACGACGATTCTTCCTACGGTTTCTGTTACATCTCTAGTTTGTTTAATTATCAGGATTAAATTCTTTTGTACTTTCAGTTTCTCTCAGTCTACTCTCGCCTACCCATCTTGATCATCTCCCTGATAATCCTTTTGATCCTTGGTTTTAATTGGAGGGGTGCAGTGTCTGAGTTGCCAACTTTCTATATTTGTGACGAAACTTTTACTCTTATGCGACTTCGAGAGTTTTTCAACCTTCTTACTCTTAGGTGGAACGGATAGTAGCTGAAATAGGTCGTTTCATGGGTTGAAAGCTGCTATTGGGACAATTGAACACATTGAAGTGAAAGAAAAGAGACGAGATTCTCGACGAGTTGTGCTTACCAGAAAGTTTCAAGGGTTCTGTTGAGAAGATTCCTTCATGATTCTATCCATTTGCTCAATCAACAGGGACCGTCGTTTTGAAAGAAGGCTAACCAATAACCGTCGTTATGATTATTTGTAGAGGGACAAATCAGATGATTTGCCCCAAAATGTCACTGCGTTCAAAGAATTTTCCTATCAGAGAGCCTAAAAGAAAAATTCACTAGCTTGTCAGTGACAATTTGTTTTGAAAAATTTTTGGAGAAGAGAAATAAAGGTATATATAGAAAAAATATCAAATTTTCACTTATCTTTGAACGTTTCGGGACCGATTCTGCTCCCGTTTTCAACATGAAAAGAGATTTTTTTCAATTGCGAAGTCCTATAATATGTCTTGAAGCTTTTCAGTTTTCAATGACAATTGGTGACGTTGGCAATCAAATGAGTTACAGGATGTTCACTTCAAGAAACAAATGAAAAAGTATTTGTTTGAAAATCCCAACTACAATTTGAAAAAATAGAACTTGTATAAAAGTTTGTGTGAATATTATGTATATATAGAATAATATCATAACTATTTAGGAAAATGTATATGAATAATGTGAATAATCAGAGAAAGAATGTGCTCATTCATATCAATGGATGAACTCCTTATTACGGTTGAGTGGAAAAGCAATTTGCGATCTAATCGTGAAATTGAACTCTGCCGTTTGAGAAACATATATGCATAATAATTCCTGTTGTACATTTATGCTGACTCAATAAAATCATTTATCATTATTATTATTATTATTATTATTATTAGAGTATTCAACAATAATAAATACCAACCACAATGGAGAAAATGAATACCACCCAGTAAGCGTGAATTCTATAAATCAACCATTTACAGTTGATGAGTACAAAATGCAAATTCGAAAACAATGTTTATATTGCTTGATATCGTGCACTGAGCTAGAGCTCACGCAGTGAGGAAATGTAAATTGAGATATTACCATTTTTTAAATGGTTCGCCTGCAATTTCACATTGTAGATCGAAGGAAGTGATTTGTGTCTTACTTCGAAGTTTTTGCATAGGTCGTTAACCGCTGAGAAGTCGGAAAATGCAACTTTAGTTCTTAAAACAAAAAATAAGTGTATTGTTCCAGGAAGTAGATGTACGGAAACGGGCATGAAATATGAATACAAACAAACAGATAATGCAGCAATGGAATGGAGTGAAGCTCGCAATTATTCAACGACCACTTTGGAAACTATCGCCTTTGACAGTACCGTAAGATGGGGCGACTTGAAATTAGGGGGCGACTTGAAATTAAGGGGCGATTTGAAATTAGGGGGTGATTTGAAATATCCATACGCGTTCGAACCCAACCACGTGCTAGCATCTTTTTATCAACAGTGAAAGCTGGGAATTGTTCGTATATGTAGGAATCTATTATACAAATCATTTTCAGTTGCACCCCTGTGATGCTGGTTTACGTGACAAAAATTCCGTTGTTTTCGTTCTGTTACTACTTCCAGTTAGGTGTATGTCTACGAACGAGGATTTTTTTTTTGATTGCCAATATACTTGAATACAGTATCCTAACTAGAGATTTGCCTTAAATTTTTTCATTATCCAGTGACGTACCATTTGAATTTTTATACATTACTGGGGCGACTTGGAAATATGGTTAGAGCTTCAAAAAAATCCTGGGACGCAGAACTATCAGAATTATAGTCAGGAGTCTCTGCATTTGGCAGTTTGCAGGAAAGGAAATGGAAGCATGATGGCAATGTCAGAAAGCTCTGGAATTCCCGTGATAACCATTGACAATAATCTGAAATAATGCTATTTTATTCTTATTTGGTATCATGTATTTTTTTAACTGGCAAAACTCTTTTATTTTTTCCAATTTTCTTCCTTTCATGTCGTCTTCATGTGACTATATCCTGAAAATTAGCCCGGGTTGATGATTTTTCAAGTCGCCCCAGAGTGGGGCGACTTGAAATATCAACTTAGAATTTTTTTCACAAAAATTGTCCAGGCATTGAATTTTGTCGATGCCTGCCATATATTCGTTTATCTGATGGCATGTCATAATGACAACGTTATGTCACTCAATTTTGATGACATAAGGAAGCTCATTATGGTACTAAGTACCATAATGAAATTCTATAAGGAAAACATGTAATGGTTTGATCAAAAAAGTTTATTCAAAATGCATAACTATGTACAAAACTATTTATTATAAATGGTAAAAGAACAATTACTACAATTTGTAATATTAATATAATGGCAAAGCACAGCTCACTCACCTACTAATATTTGAAACTACACAATATTTACTCCTTTAAAAATAGTTGTCATTGTGACATGTCGAAAATGCAGTTTTTAATTTTTCGAAAATGTATTGATATAAATGCCATCAGATAAAATTTTGTATGTAATACGAATCATAAACAATCATTATGGCACACGCCGTGTTATCGATAACATTCACGACTTGTACCATAATGATCGTCTTTATGATCCTTATTACATAAATAACTATTTGGTCCAAAGTGATGTCGTGTTATGATTTTTATATGCACTCAATTGACGTATTATATATTATTTGACGGTTCTGGACCAATAATCTGACGGAAAAATTCCAAGTTGCCCCGTTTCACGGTATATCGTATAGAAGTCTTATTTTTGTTCATCGTTTGCTGATTACGTCAATTCCAATCTATTTAAGAAACAAATTAATATTTCGTAACCAACAACATAATGTGAATTTAAGAGTTAACAACACATTGGATATACCACGCCATTCGACAGCTTTGTACCAGAAATCTTTTTCTTATAATGCTGTGAAATTGTACAATTCACTTGATTCATCTTTCAAAATTAATGTTATTCATTCCTTCAAGAAACGCCTTAAATTACATTTATTGCTCGAACAAAATGCCATTTGAAATTGAACTATATTTATTTACATTCATTCATTATAGAAAAAATTGAATAATTGCAAGTCATCTGCACTTAGTGATTAAAGTATGTTAAGTTTATGTATTATGTATTATAAATGTGCAGGGGTTAGGTGTAAGAGTAGCCATGATGGCTAAACTTCGCTCTGCCAAATGTTTGTATAAACATTAAATCAAATAAAGACGTTTATTATTATTATTATTAAGTCTTAGGTGGGAAAATGAAAATTTTTATTTGGCCTATTGAAAATCTGAAAAAATTCACATAGACTAATTCGATATTGAAATGAACGAATCTGTGGTGGAAATCAAGGAATTTTGAAGAATGGAGACGTAGTAATCTACCGGAGTGCTCCTATTGGCAAAAAAAGCGGAAAGCTGACTTTGAGTGCCGATATCTCAAAAACTATCTTTCCTACGGGGCTGATCATGGTCTCATTCGATTCAGCAGGTCATTTTCTACTGGAAAAACAATAATTCGCGTGAATTCCTGCCGTTTTCTGGCACTTTAGGCCGTCCGAAGATGGCTCGGTGACTATATCGTATGGAAGTCTTAGGTGGGAAAATGAAAATTTTTATTCGGCCTATTGAAAATCTGAAGAAATTCACATAGACTAAATCGATATCGAAATAAACGAATCTGTGGTGGAAATCGAGGAATTTTGAAAAATGGAGACGTAGTAGTCTACCGGAGTGCTCCTATTGGCAAAAAAAGCGAAAGCTGACTTTGAGCGTCGATATCTCAAAAACTATTTGTCCTAGAGGGCTGATCATGGTCTCATTCGATTCAACAGGTCATTTTCTACTGGAAAAGCGATAATTCGCGTGAATTTTTGCCGTTTTTTGGCACTTTCGGCCGTCCGAAGATGTCTCGGTGACTATATATCGTATGTGTCTTCGGTGGGAAAATGAAAATTTTTATTTGGCCTATTAAAAATCTAGAAAAATACACATAGACTAATTCGATATCGAAATGAACGAATCCATGGTGGAAATCGGTAAATTCAGAAAAATGGAGACGTAGTAGTCTACCGGAGTGCTCCTATTGGCAAAAAAAGCGAAAAGCTGACTTTGAGTGCCGATATCTCAAAAACTAAATGTCCTACGGGGCTGATTATGGTCTCATTCGATTCAGCAGGTAATTTTCTAGTGAAAAAGCGATAATTTGCGTGAATTTCTGCCGTTTTCTGGCACTTTCGGCCGTCCGAAGATGACCCGGTGACTAAATCGTATGGAAGTCTTAGGTGAGAAAATGAAAATTTTTATGTGGCCTATAAAAATCTGAAAAAATTCACAAAGACTAATTCGATATTGGAATGAACGAATCTGTGGTGGAAATCAAGGAATCTTGAAAAATGGAGACGTAGTAGTCTACCAGAGTGCTGCTATTGGCAAAAAAAGCGAAAAACTGACTTTGAGCACCGATATCTCGAAAACTATTCGTCCTACGGGGCTGATTCTGGTCTCATTCGATTCAGCAGGTCATTTTTCACTGCATAAGCGATAATTCGCGCGAATTTATGCCGTTTTCTGGCACTTTCGGCCGTCCGAAGATGGCTCGGTGACTATATCGGATGGAAGTCTTTGGTGGGAAAATGAAAATTTTTATTTGGCTTATTAAAAATCTAAAAAAATTCACATAGACTGATTCGATATCTAAATGAACGAATCTGTGGTGGAAATCGAGGAATTTTGGAAAATGGAGACGTAGTAGTCTACCGAAGTGCTCCTATTGGCAAAAAAAGCGAAAAGCTGATTTTGAGCGCCGATATCTCAAAAACTA